TTCCCCCAACATATTCCTGTCGACTCTATCAAAGGCTTTGTCTTGGTCTATGAATGTCAACAAACAGACCTGTGTTAAAAGCTGTTCAATATAAAATGTGAGATGTCCAGTTGTAGCTGTTCAATATCTGCAGACCTGTTACATCATTTTCGTGCCGTACATTTACGACACCAGCTACTCCATCTCTGCGACGTCTCTGCGTTCCTATGCAGACATTATTTTGACCGGAGAATGGGTTGTGGAAAACAGAAGCATCGATGTGAGCCGAGTCAATGGAGTCCATGGAATGTCCATTGTCAAGTAAGTGCCTTGCGTGTTCTGTCCGCTAATACTCAGGGACACCGCAACAAATAAATCAATGGGGGAGGGGGGGGGGGGGGAGCGTTGGTCCCTTATCATTTTCTGATGGCCGCGCCATCGAGCCTTGTATGAGTGCGCAATACTAATAGTAATACTTATTAGGTCTTTTAGTGCCAGGCGAAGGTTTCGTAGGAGATACCAATGAAGAAATCTCTGGGAATAAACTCCATAAATACCATACTTTCAAAGCGGTAGTATAATAGCAATAGTGATCTCTGTACAAGCCAGATTTCTTGAGTGTGTTGTGACCAAATAAGGAATACAAAAATAAATAAATAAGAAAGCATATTAAGCTTAGAAAGGGTTTCAGCAGTCACAGTATTTGATACGTTTGTTGGGGGAGGGGGAAAGGGGGAGGGCGGGTTCAACGAGTTAATACACTGTAGTGCGCTTTATGACAAATAAATGTAATAATATACTTGGAAAAATAAATAAAAATTATTCAATCAGGTGCCGTCTCCACAGTAAAGGTTGGCTGTAGTGGATCTCCAACACACGCTGTCTCTTGTGTTGGTTGTACACCCTCTCATACTGATGTTCGTCCATCTCTGATGTTGCCCTCACACTTGTATCGTTGCCTACGTCTTACTCTTTTGCTCTCGAAGTTTCCCTCCAGTATGGTTTCAAAAGCATGTTATGTCTTTTAATATAGATAAAGTATTTCAATTAATACTTTCTCCCCACCCCCCCCCCCCCCCCCCCCCTCCCCCCCCACTCCCCCCCCCCCCCCCCCCCCCCCCCCCCCCCCCCCCCCCCCCCCCCCCCCCCCTCTCCCGCCAGTAATTATATGTTAATATATGGTCTTCCTAAAACCCCAGTATTTGACCGCTTTTGTTCCGATTAAATGGTGATGTGGTGTGGAAACTCAACAATAGACGGCTTCGGGGTCGCCGCCACAAAGAAATAATAGAGAGGGGTCGTGAACTTCTTTTTAATTTTTGATGGAGCCCCGGAGCCTCAGACTATTAAGCTTTGTTTAAGTGCTCAATTTCATAAGAAATCCGTGATGAACAGCACATAAATAAAATAATATATATTTGAAATAATATGAAATCTGTAAGCAAATCATACAAATGCACATTTGTTTACAAGGTTAACTTTATATGTAAACTTTATCTGTGGTGGGTTGGGAGGGGGTGGGGGGGGGGGGGTCTCATGGTGTTTTGGCTCCCATTTTTTGGCACCTTTTGGTTACAATTCTGAATGTTTCTAGAGAAGTAGGACGCTTACAGTATTTAATCAAGTATATTAGCAAGCTTCACAATATAACAAATACAAACAAAACGTGAACGTTGCGGCTATGGAGCTTTCATTAGCACATCAATACTACAAAGATACACAAAATCACTTAGCTGGTATCTCGAAGCAGCCGGGTCGATGGATTCTTGGCAGAATGCCTACACGTATAGGTTGGGAGGCGTAAATACACCCTATAGAGTACCAGGGGCCAAAACTAGGGGGCTAGAGGCAATACTGTGAGGGCAGTTAAATCCCCTAGGAGTTTAAATAAAACTGTGTTGGCAATTCAGTCCGGTGGGTGTTAAAGTCCCCAGAGTATAAAAAAAGCGATTCTCAAGAGACTTCCGGACTCTGTCGCTTGAGTAGCTAGATTTAATGGCTGTCACCTCCATGTCGAGGACACCTTGGTGATGGTGGGAATTGAAGTGCAACGGGACTGGTTTCAGGGCACCATTTTGCACATCCAAAAGATGTTGTCTGAACTTGTCAGCCAGCCGTAGACCTGTTTCACCAATCTATTTCATGCCACATCTCTTGCAGTTGATGGCATAGGTGACATTGCGGCTGGTACAAAAGAATGCTTCACGTATGTGGAAGGTGGCGTTCGGGAATTCTAGACTAGCCACCTGGACCACATATGGACAGGTTCTGCATACAAGTCTATGGCAAGAGACCGTGCCGAAGTGGAGCTCAGACGCGGGAAGTAACCGACTCTTAACTAGAATGTCCTTGAGGTTACGATCATGCCTGTAGGCCACTAGAGGAGGTTCAGAGAAAATCGTGCTGGTGGCAGGGTCGGCTTAAAGGATGGAGAGGTGCCTGAAAAAAATATTTTGGTCGCGGATGTTGGGAGGGTGGTAGGTAAGTGTGAGGATAGGTCTGTTGTGGTGACGTTTAGGCTTGAAAACGAGAACCACGGCACGATGGAAAGACCGTGCACGGTGAAAGGCGGCAGATAAGACATATTCAGGATACCCTTGAAGCCGGAAGAAGTCCAGCATTAGCTATTTAATCAGAGACTGAACCTGCAGCAATTGAAGACTGCAACCAACCAAAACCAAGCCATCGGGTCATTTACTCTTGCTTTGGCGATGTCAAAAAGTCACTACAACCAAATTGTATCATGATTTACTTGTCCACAAGTTGTTTGATAAAGCCACAGTGTTATCGCCCTACTCTGCGTTATTTCCATGCGTGGCTGTTAAGCCATCCCAGTCCTCATAAATCTCTAACAATGAAGGCATACTATGAATAAAATATTTTTTAGCACACTAAATCTGCGGAAGTGTAAACAGCCAGATAACATGGAATATCAACCAGCTTGATAAATCACTAGACATTTCAACTTCTCCCACCTCCTTTCTCTATTATACACTTCCTCAGTTAGAACCCGGTTTTCTCTTTTGCCTAATTCCCTATCTGCCATCTGTGGTACTGACTAGTACTCATGGTTCTATCCTTCCTATATGAAACAATATGTCACTCCCCGACCACCCCCCCCCCCCCCCCCTTTTCCTCTTTTTTTCCCATCAGCATTTCGCCCAAGGCGACCAATAAGGGTTTGCTGAAATCGGACGTGTTGATCAAGAGGCGCGGATTTTGCAGTCTAGCTTTAAGCCAGAATACGAGGTGCCGACCGCCCTTTCTGACGGTGGCAATAGAAAAGAAGATTCAATATTAGCATATGCCGATTTGAGTACATACAGTGGTACCTCTGGAAGTGGTACCTTTGGAATACGAAATTGTATGAGTACAAATTCGTCTTTGTAGCTAGTGGGTTTCCTGCTTATGATTGTGAAAAGTGATTTTTTTTTTTTCTTTAAAGAAAATAAAGAACCCCTTTTCAGCCTTTAAACGTGTTGGGTATATAGGGCTAGACCTACATTTTATTAATCGACATTTGGTGAGTGATAAGTTCAACAACACCACGCCGGCCGCCTTGAAATTCCAGGATTTACCTGGTACCCATTAAACAACTAGGTCAATAATGGAGCCAAGGTTATTTTTGAAAACATCCGGCTCCGTTCGGATTCAAACCCACGACCTTCAGATCCGCAAACGAGCGTCTAGTCGCAGCACCATGGTGGCTCCTGATTATTATTATTTCTGTTATTTGTTTTTTATGGTATTGAAGTTGATGATGGTGATGATGGTGATGATGGTGATGATGATCATGATGCATTGTAGCATCGCCGATAACTAGCGGTGAGATCACATATAATCAATCCGTTTCTTGTACGCCAATCAGGTTCAAAATGACTTTGCGTAGAAGGATTCTGTACTACGTCCTCTGTGTGCTGTCGCCAATGCTGCTGACTGGGGTCGTCTCGTCTATGGTATTTTTGTTGCCGCCAAATTCTGGAGAGAAGATCTCCTTTCTTGTCACGGTGTTTGTAACTGAGGCAGTGTTTCTAAACTTCATTGCGTAAGTGACTTTATCATGTACATAAATTACTCTTTACACGTACGATTTCTTTTTTTTTTATAATCAAGTAAATATGCACCCTAACCTACATCACACATGGTGCAGAGTGGATACCAGTGCCTCGAGCGTGTATTTGTACTTTTTCCTGTATTGCCACACTTGACAAGCCATGCAGGGAGCAGAATCTTGTTGCTGTCAATACAGAGGTCAACGCTCTCATTAGTGAAAATTCAGCCGAGTCAGATGTACAGACGAATCTGTTATACGCCAACAGAGAAGCGCATGTGCGTTCACAGCACGCTTGTCGGGCAAAACAGTCAAAAGAAGTCAACGGCGCCTTCTTCATGACAACCAGCAGCATGCCGGGACAAGCGGGCATCGATGGAAATGAAAGAGCTGATAGGCTGGCTGAATTCACTATCACTACCGACGGTCAGCCTATGGGTCATGCTGATATTAATAATATCGTTCGAGAAATAAGAAGGGTAGAAGACTTTGGGGGCAATAAATCCACATCACTCGCCAGAATGATAGACTTGGGAGTTAAGATCGGCATAGCAAAAAATGGACACCAGGCACATCAGAGAACTTGGTAATCAACATAGAACTGGTACTTTTAGTCACCGGAAGCTGGGATTCATACTGAGGGGAGGATCTGAGCACCTATGGACATGTCTTGGGTGCAATGATGATAACCAAACAAACTAACTAACTAACGATTTATTTTACATTATTCCTTTTCCAAATGACTCTAAATTGTATCGCTGTACCAAGTAATTGTACCAAGTTAAGTATTTCAGTTTCTTAAGACTGAAGGTGACGCTACCAACAATTATAAGACTGAAGGTGACGCTACCAACAATTATAAGACTGAAGGTGGCGCTACCAACAATTATAAGACTGAAGGTGACGCTACCAACAATTATAAGACTGAAGGTGGCGCTACCAACAGTTATAAGACTGAAGGTGACGCTACCAACAGTTATATGACTGAAGGTGACCCTACCAACAGTTATAAGACTGAAGGTGGCGCTACCAACATTTATAAGTCTGAAGGTGACGCTACAAACATTTATAAGACTGAAGGTGACCCTACCAACAGTTATAAGACTGAAGGTGGCGCTACCAACATTTATAAGTCTGAAGGTGACGCTACAAACATTTATAAGACTGAAGGTGACCCTACCAACAGTTATAAGACTGAAGGTGGCGCTACCAACATTTATAAGTCTGAAGGTGACGCTACAAACATTTATAAGACTGAAGGTGGCGCTACCAACTGTGGCGGGTAAATTCGCTTTACACCAGCGAATGCACTATGTGCAATTTACAGAGGAAATAACAAACAGTTAATCATCACAAAGGTATATATTACCCCCAGCCTTGCTGGTTAAATGAGAGGATTTGGGGTTTACCCACATCTTATTCCCTACTGTTAATAAACTTGTATATTTAAATGTTCTTAAGTTCACTGACACAAATAATTACAGTTAAAATAACTCCATAACACTGAAAGAAACATTAAAACTATAATATTTAATTGGAAAATTCAAAAAATAACCAAATGGCTGTGGATAAAATCCTGTTATATAAGGTTAGTAGACAAATCCGTCCACTTAGCTGTAGCTTATGTTTCTTTGGTCAGCTTCTAGCTAAGCCTCGAAGACACATCAGGCAGGCCGAATCTTCCAGTCAAGTCCAGACAATCGGGCATCTGCAGTTACGCTTGGATTTACTTATGGAACTCCCACCTGGAACTACCATCTGAAACTAGAACAATAGAACACTCCCTATAAAAACAGTTTAAAAAGTTCTCAATGGAGACAACAGTGCCTCCAGTTCTCATATAATGTTACACTACGCACAGATATATGGAGTAGGATAGTAACAGGCGTTCTCATTCTACTGGTATAGAATGGGAATGTTTACAGAACTTGGTCCATAATCCTGATGGGAAATATTTAGGAAACATCAGTTTCATGAATACTCTCAAGCACAAGAGTTTACATCACACAATAAGAAAGGACATTCAACCGTGTAAATTGTTCTGATGTCTTTACACTAGTACTCCTTTGAGGGGTTAACATGCTTACACACACAGTCACATTTCACAATATTCTCATTTCAACCGCATTGGTTCACATCACAAAGAATGAGAATCCGGGAGTGAGTTTACATGGGCCAGAAACTCATAACAGGTGCTTTGCACAGTTTAAAAATATCTCCATCAATATAACTGGGTACTGGGATAGATGACAATGGGCTTTCTATCTGTCACAGTATTAACATAAAAAATATACAACACACAGTCCAGAGTAAATCTAGATCCACATATGTGATAAAATCTTAGTCAGCAGAGTTTAGAAATTGTGAGGGGTGAAATAAAACTATTAAAATTGTAAGGCCACCTGCTGTGGTATTGAAATATATTTCTTAGTAATGGCGAAATATATATACAACAATACTAATTACAAGCATGGGCCATAGATCTCTCTTCTTTTTCTCCGACAGTGTGAATATTTAATTTAGCCTCCCCCCCCCCCCGTGTTATTCACTTTTCAAGCTCTTAAACCAGTCTCAGAATTATCTGGACTAAATCTAAATTAAAGCAATACAGTGATTTATCAAGCTAATATAACCATGGGGTAAAATCAACTTAGTAAGGATTAGGTATAATGAATATACACTTTATTCATTTTTTAATTGTCTCACTATGCTGGAAACCGAAACTGGCCGAGATTTCACACGTGGACATACATTCTCACTTAATTAATATAATTATAATAATTAAAAATACCAATGCACGTTTCTAGTATCAAATAAACATTTTTTCAATCATCAAATAGATCATATGTTTGCATACATGTATATACTAGATCATAAACGTGGTTAGTAAGGATAAGGGAATTCACAAGGATTTCAAAGCCATGTGGGCATCAAATTTCATAGAATTTAACCTGTGAAATTAATTCAGAGGAATAAGCAGCAGTAAGTCAAATTAAACTAATTTTTTTTTTCACTCACCCCTGGTAGGAAATTCAAACAGAATATTGGACAACAGGCTGACTAACAACTTTAGTCTGAACTGGTCAATTTCTGATTTAAAAAGGGAATAGGAAGTCATAGAAAGGGGGAAGTCAGTGTTGCCACTTTTCTTTGACAAAAAATATCCAAAACGGTGTCAAAAAATATCTAAAAAGATCTAAATCTGCGTGGAAAAGATCTAGAAAAAAATCCAAATTGAAAAAGTCAAAAATTACATAGCTTTTGTTATGACTTACCCTACATAATCATGTCCTCACCTTCACTGATGTCTGCCTCACAAGATACACAGGATAAACTTAGCTTGGATAATGAAGTTGAAGCTTCAGAGCCAAAATGACCCTGGTATGCTTTAGCTGTTCAAATTTCTTTTTAAGTGAAACAGTAGGCTTATTTCTCTAGTCTCATCAGGCCGAATTTTAATGGCACGATAGCATTTAAGAGGTCAAATTTCATCCTGTTTTTCAGGTTAGATTTGATATAATTCCTAGCACTGAAAACTCTTTCTACGTCTGCATTTGAGTGGGGTAGTATCATGACAGAATTGGCACTTTAAAGAGCTCACAGAATGTACTGTTTGATGAGGCATCTTTAAATTGTCTCACTTCACTCCAAAACGCTTTAGTTTCTGTTTTGTTTGTCCGTTCAGCTAACTTTATTTTGTTTAACTGATATTCTGCTTCCGCGACACTATTATCTGTAGCCCCTAAAAATTTCATAACTTTACAATATTTAGGTATTTCCTTTATTGGCTGAAGTATGTTTCTCACAGAAAAAATTGAAATATTTTGCAAAACATCTAGATTTTCAGGGTCTCTGCTTCAGTTGCTTCAATAATGAGATAAGGAAATCTTGACAGCGTTTTCTTAAGTTGTTCTCTTCATTCTCTGTTAACAGTCCTTTTGTTTTTAAATCATCAATTTTTGATTCGATTTAATTTCCAAGGTGTGGCTTAGGAGCCAAATAGCTCTCTATAGTGCAAGTGATCAAATCAGCTTTAGAAGTTGGCAACACCAGTCTTTTACCGAGTGAAATAGCAATGTGAGATCATCAAGTAATTTAATTTTATCAACAAGTTTAGATTCGAACAGTTTATCAACTTTTTGCACTTCCATTAGAATAGGTTTTAAAGAGAGAATGAATGACAATTTTTTTTCATCACTGTACATTCTATATAGTATTTCAGCTGTGTAGCACTTTTCACTTTGTCTTGTTATTTCAAAGTATGTCTTCAACTTCAGCCATTGCTTCATAGTTCTTTCAACAGCTGGTTCAATTGATAACCATCTAGTTTTGCAATCTGACAGAATTTTCGGGGGTGTGGAACCATCATTCAAGGCTGTATATAATGTATTGTATTGCTGTTGTCTGACAAATGATTTGGAAAACCAGTAAAGTGTTTCATCAATAAGATATTCCAAATTCCTTGGTAAATATTTAGATGAAGCATGTGATAATGCTAGCTGCAATGAATGACGCATACATATTAACGATGGGTTAGCATCCTTTAACTTGGCATAAACGCCATTGTTTATACCAACCATCACTGAGGCATTATCAGTACCAATTACAGCCAAATTCTTCAAGCCTAACTGTTTGCTGATTAAAAGGTCCTTCAGTTCCTAAACTATACTTTCTACATCACACTTTTCAAATTGAACTAGTCCAAGATTTTTTACAAATCGATCAAATGGTCACAGTTTGAAATTGCGCAGTGACAAATTAAAAACATTGCGACTGATACTTCAACTTTTGATGATTCATGTATCAGTATAGTTCTGAAAACAGATGTCAGCGGTGTAATATCTTTAAATGAAACTGCAGTTTTATGCTTTTTTAGTCTCTGCATGACTCTTTGAGTTTTGTATTTTCGCTTTAATTTCACACTTGGCCTTGCAGTACTTACAACAAGCTTTGGTCATATCCCCAGTTTTTAATTTTGTCATCATGCAACCACTCTTTCCAAATTGTTTGCTCATACTTAACTTTTGGCATGTTGAAAGGTTTTTTCAAAGTGAAAGCCACATAAGAAGGTGAGCAATTATTTTTTTTTAATCACATTAAAAAAAAAAACCGCAAAGTCAGCACAGTGAGGATATGGTTGAAACAAAGTTAGTATGATTTACGCACGTTTTTATTAATCAGTACCGGGGCTGGCAGATATTTGTGCGTTGACCCCAGTGAGAGTTCAAAGTTCAAGTAATGGCAGTTGTCACAATGTACGTGCCAGACCAAAACAAAAATATTGTAGTAAATATTTTACACAGTAAATATTAAACTGACAATGAAAGAAAAGAAAATCTATAAAATATCTAACTCCATATGAAAAGAAACTAGAAAAATATTTACGATCTAAACGTCAAAAACAGTATCTAAATGCAATGAAAAAGATCTAAATTTGGATATAAAAGATCCAAAGTGGCAACACTGGGGAAGTAACTCTTGAGATACTCATTGCACTACTCTTCATCTAATTCGCCTTTTAACTTCTTAATTAATTAAGTATTATTAATGCTAATAAAAAGCGATAAGGAAATGTTTAGAAATTTGTTAATAATATTACTTAAACAAAGCAATTTTTAAAAGGGAGGAAGCAGCTGTCCAGACCAGCTCGTCACACCAACATTTATAAGTCTGAAGGTGGGGCTACCAATATTTATAAGACTGAAAGTAGCGCTACCAACAGTTTTAAGACTGAAGGTGACGCTACCAACATTTATAAGACTGAAGGTAGCGCTACCAACATTTATAAGCCTGAAGGTAGCGCTACCAACAGTTATAAGACTAAAGGTGACGCTACCAACATTTATAAGACTGAAGGTAGCGCTACCAACAGTTTTAAGACTGAAGGTGACGCTACCAACATTTATAAGCCTGAAGGTAGCGCTACCAACAGTTATAAGACTAAAGGTGACACTACCATCAGTTATAAGACTGAAGGTGGCGCTACCAACAGTTATAAGTCTGAAGGTGGCGCTACCAACAGTTATAAGACTGAAGGTGGCGCTACCAATAGTTATAAGACTAAAGGTGGCGCTACCAACAGTTATAAGACTAAAGGTGGCGCTACCAACAGTTATAAGACTGAAGGTGGCGCTACCGACATTTATAAGACTGAAGGTAGCGCTACCAACATTTATAAGACTGAAGGTGGCACTACCAGCAGTTATAAGACTGAAGGTGTCGCTACCAACATTTATAAGTCTGATGGTGGCGCTACCAACAATTATAAGATTGCAGGTGGTGCTACCAACAGTTATAAGACTGAAGGTGGCGATACCAACATTTATAAGACTGAAGGTGGCGCTACCAACAGTTACAAGACTGAAGGTGGCGCTACCAACAGTTATAAGACTGAAGGTGGCGCTACCAACATTTATAAGACTGAAGGTAGCGCTACCAACATTTATAAGACTGAAGGTAGCGCTACCAACATTTATAAGTCTTAAGGTGGCGCTACCAACAATTATAAGACTGAAGGTGGCGCTACCAACAGTTATAAGACTGAAGGTGCACTACCAACATTTATAAGACTGAAGGTGGCGCTACCAACAGTTATAAGACTAAAGGTGGGGCTACCAACATGTATAAGACTGAAGGTGGCGCTACCAACATTTATAAGACTGAAGGTGGCGCTATCAACATTTATAAGACTGAAGGTGGCGCTATCAACATTTATAAGACTGAAGGTGGCGCTACCAACTTGTATAAGACTAAAGGTGGCGCTACCAACATTTATAAGACTGAAGGTGGCGCTACCAACATTTATAAGACTGAAGGTAGCGCTACCAACATTTATAAGACTGAAGGTAGCGCTACCAACATTTATTAGTCTGAAGGTGGCGCTACCAACAATTATAAGACTGAAGGTGCACTACCAACATTTATAAGACTGAAGGTAGCGCTACCAACATTTATAAGACTGAAGGTGGCGCTACCAACAGTTATAAGACTGAAGGTAGCGCTACCAACAGTTATAAGACTGAAGGTGGCGCTACCTACATTTATTAGACTGAAGGTGGCGCTACCAACATGTATAAGACTGAAGGTAGCGCTATACTGGACACATTATGTTAAGATACAAGCAGAGTCACTAAGCAGGCACTGCAATGTCAAATAAGAAGATTGAGGAAACGAGGACGTCTGAGAGAAACCATAAAGCGAACGTTGAGGAATGAAGCCAAAGGTGCTGGATTGGACCACACCCATTATATTGACATATATATATATATATATATATATATATATATATATATATATATATATATATATATATATATATATATATATATATATATATATATATATATATATATATATATATTGCATATGAAATATAACGGATGAAAAATATATTTACCCCAAGCTTTATGCGGCATATAATGGCACAATCGGGTCAGACACTGAACGAATGAATGAATAAATGAATGAATGAATGAATGAATGAATTCATTCATTACCCAAAACAGGGATGTTGGCTACGCTTAAATAGTACTTCAGTTGTAGCTCCGCGGCGAAGTGGTCAAGCCGTTTTCCTCGCGCTCTGGAGGTCGTGGGTTCGTTTCACTGCTGCGTCCTTTTTCACCGAGATCAATAGGAATAGTCGCCGGAGCTGGGGAGTTTGTTCTCTGCGCCGCGCTGTCGACAGGCGGCTAGCCGTTCTGAGAGAGACCGTGTGAGATAAAACCGGTGCAATGAAGTCGATCCTCTCGACTTTAACTTTAATGTTAAGTTTAAGTTGTTTTGCTCACTCCGCACCCTTTCTCAAGCAACTCGTTTCCACGAGTGGAACAGATACTGAAATAAATATTTCTGTTGTTCACTGGTAACGTTAACACTGAGAAAAAAAGGAGATAAAAATGTTATTATTATTATTATTTTTAATATTACTGTCATTGATAAAATTAACTGGTACTATAAGCATGTCAACTCTTCGTTAGCTGCTGAAGAAGGGGACAGAGCACGTGTGGGAATGTCCTGAGTGCAGTAATGTACATTTTTGATTCATTTATTCATTTGTTCATTCACTTATCCATAACATTGTTTTCTGGATCCAACAGAGGAGCAATGCCAAGAAACATGTCCGGCATCCCCAGACTGCCCTTGTTTCTGGTGGTCATCAATGTTCAGTGTATGCTGGCCATGATTGCAACAGTCTTCGTCATCAGGGGATACGACGCCGAACAAAGACACATCATGGAGCAGCAACAAGAATGCGAGTCCCAAGAGCACGATGACACGATGTCCGTCTCCCAGTTATCTGTGGATGAAGTAAAAGAGCAACAAGTGGAGTCTACACATCCTCCAAGTCTCAAGAATCGACTCGGCAGCTACCTTGTACAGAAACTTCCGTTTACGCAGACGATACCCGGTCCAGTGATTAAACCCAACCGGAAGAAAGATAACAGAAAGCAACCAACAAGACGGAGATGCTGTCTGCCTGCTTCAACATGGAACACAATTTTCTTTTGGGCATTCAATGCCACAAGTGCCGTGTGCTACCTTGTGTTGTTCATGTCGTGATTGCATCAATTTCTCCACAGGAACATTTACGTTGTAATGTATTTTATCATTCTTATAGAACAGTATTTGCCAGGTTCACACGGAAGGTCTGTTACACTTGCCTCTCGGAATATTAATTGCTGAGGCCCCTTGTATCTTCTACGGTGCGATTCTCGTACCACGAACCGAAAACCACTATTTTTTTTTTTTTTAATGAACCGTTCCTCACGGAAAAAGATCCATAGTACTTTATGATCATTTAATAATTTAACGCATTCACTGACATCTAAGCTGCAGGGATTAAAGTCTCTAATAATTGACAAGACTCAGTTTTACGGTAGGGTTAAATTTGTTCCGTCTACTCCAAGCGTGAAACACTGAACTATGGTGCGTGTCAGTACTCAAGGCCTCTCAAGCTTTAACAAATGTCTCGACAACTTCTGTACGGATCAGCACGAACATTTGCACGTGGCCTAATATTTCACATGTGGCTTAATATTTCACATGTGGCCTTATATTTCACATGTGGCCTTATATTTTACATGTGGCATAATATTTCACATGTGGCCTAATATTTCACATGTGGCCTAATATTGCACATGTGGCCTAATATTTCACATGTGGCCTAATAGTTCACATGTGGCATAATATTTCAAATTGGCCTAATAGTTCATATGTGGCCTAATATTTCACATGTGGCCTAAAAGTTCACATATGGCCTAATATTTCACATGTGGCCTAATAGTTCACATATGGCCTAATATTTCACATGTGGCATAATAGTTCACGTGTGGCCTAATATTTCACATGTGGCCTAATATTTCACATGTGGCCTAATATTTCACATGTCCTTACGATTTTATAATTTGCAGTTACAGAGGTACAGCTGTTTTCTTAAAGCGGCAAATGAATTTGATTTTCGTTTGACTAATAATAGATACTCCCCCCCCCCCCCCCCCCCCGGTTAAAAAAAATGCACAGTAAGTGACAAACATGTGGTGATTATTTGCAACTCAGTTTACATATGCAGCAATGAGTGGTGATTATTTTGTCATCCCTCATACAATGAAAAATCCGCAACCACGGAAAACTTATGTTGGAAACCAGATCAGAGTGAGACTCCAATAAACGCGATTGCAACCAACGTTTTGATTCGCCAAAAGAGAGTGACTTCCCTTACCATTCATGGCTAGTCGGGTCGAAGGGTCTCTGCTATGTCGCAGAACTTATTACTTATACACAGGCGTTGCGGCTCCTCAAAGAGACTCACAACAACACAAGCTCCCGTTAACATTGTATACGTGGAGCAAACGAAGTCATATCATAACACTCAACTCCTCCCCCTGCAACAAAGGAGAGACCCTTGACAAGACGAGGCATTAATTGGAAGGGAAGTCATTCTCTTATATTGCGGATCAAAACGTAACTTGTACCGAAACTGGTGCAGTCCGATGTTTTGAAAAGTTTCCCTAACTAAATCAGTTTACTCAAGCTGCTACAGATATGTTGACTATTTGTTGAAATTTGTCTGCGTCTTTATTTATTGCAAAACCGCAAAATAAAAACTATGTGTTTGTTTCCATTTAAAAACGTTTCTTACAAGGACATGATTATTATCTGCATGCCAAATATTCGACAACAGACCGAATAGTTACTGATTCAATTATTTTTTTAACCTTTGGTAGGTGTTCTAGAACTGAGTATAGACGAACTGTTCTGTCTCCATGGTGGTGACATTTACGTTACAAATAAACAGTTGACTGGCTAAGTATTTTTTGCTCAGGGCGTTTTAGTGGAAGTGCTTGTTGCATGTCATTACAGTCCCTAGCCTGTTTGTTTGACTGTCTGTGGCCATTTTGTCCGTCTACCTATACGTTTGTCCGCTCCTCATTCCACAAAACCATTGGCTTATTGACAAACCCATTAACCGACCCATCACTCCACCAACCTTTGTTTGTACCGATCAGTAAATATTTACCAAAAGCTCGAAGAAACAAAACCAGCCTGTATTAACCCACGATTTAACAAATACACTCATTCCTATACAAGAATTCAATCACGGGTACTTTCTCCTCCACTCACAGTTATTAAAGTATTCAAACGCATTACCCTAATAGCCAAAGGCACGGGCTCCAGCTAAAGGTGGTACAATACATAGCCCATTAAACCGTTGACACAATCATTGACTAGATGAAGCGGTTCAGACAGTGCTTGTGTGGTCTACTGTTCAACTTCGCTCACACTGGAGACAACTTCTTTGGTGACGCGGGTGGGGGAACTAGTACACAGCGTGTTATCGTGTTAAGTACTAGAAAAGAAAGCCGCCACGGTGTAGCTGCTAGAGGCTTGACTGCGAATGGAAAAGTGGTGGGTTCGGGTCCTAACGGCTCTCAGGTCGATCCAGGCTTGAGAGGGTACCAGGTCCAATCCTGGGAAGTAAACGCGGCCGGAGTGATGCTGACCACATCGCCCACTCAGTTCCGATTGGTCTATAAAATAAAAGTCTAGCCATATATGCCCATTAGGCGTGGAAGAAGGTCCTTTACTATGTTCCCAGATAAGGCTTACCTGGACAACAAATGCATGCAGAAGTCGGATGTGTCGGCCACATTGTAAACGGGCATAACACATTTACATCTTCGGATAAACGCAAAAGAAGAGGTATGTAACCAATATGCTTCAATGCGTGTAAAAAAAAAGTCAGTTGTATAGGATACCTAACTTACATATTATCACTGACCCAATGAAATAAACCCAACAGAGAATAAAAACCGTAGTCTGTGTTCGTTATATTGTGAAGCTTGTTGATATACAATTCATTGACGCTGCATGTCGAGTCTTGAGTCACTGGACAAAACCACAAGTCGAGTCGTGAGTCACTGGACAAAACCACAAGTCGAGTCGTGAGTCACTGGGAAAAACCACAAGACGAGTCGTGAGTCACTGGACAAAACCACAAGTCGAGTCGTGAGTCACTGCGCAAAACCCCAAGTCGAGTCGTGAGTCACTGGACAAAACCACAAGTCGAGTCGTGAGTCACTGCGCGAAACCCCAAGTCGAGTCGTGAGTCACTGGACAAAACCTCAAGTCGAGTCGTGAGTCACTGGGCTAAACCGTATAACTCGAGTCGCAAATCGTTAACTACTCGACTTAAGTCCAGGTCACGCGACCCAAGTTCCGACCATTGGTACTTGCAAACCCCTCGCTCCTCCCCCCCCCCACCCCACACACGCGCGCGCGTGCGCTCGCACACACACGTGTTCACGGCACATTTCCTTTCAGGACATGGAACAATTACCTACTGTGTACTCACTCATCGTCGGTTTCAACAAAAAGACTAGAACTATACCACCCATCGAATTAATTATACAGACATCTGCCTGTTTCTAGGCATGGCTGCCAACCAGTTGATCGAGGCTTTTTATCTAGACAGGGATTTTTTTTTTTAAATGAAGTCCAACTTGATCTGGTCTCTGCTTCTTATTCTTCTTTCTCTTCTTCTTTTTTTTTTTCTTATTTTTCTTCTTCTTCTTCTTCTTTTTCTTCTTCTTCTTCTTCTTCTTCTTCTTCTTCTTCTTCTTCTTCTTCTTCTTCTTCTTCTTCTTCTTCTTCTTCTTCTTCTTCTTCTTCTTTTTCTTCTTCTTCTTCTTCTTCTTCTTCTTCTTCTTCTTCTTCTTCTTCTTCTTCTTCTTCTTCTTCTTCTTCTTCTTCTTCTTCTTCTTCTTCTTCTTCTTCTTCTTCTTCTTCTTCTTCTTCTTCTTCTTCTTCTTCTTCTTCTTCTTCTTCTTCTTCTTCTTCTTCTTCTTCTTCTTCTTCTTCTTCTTCTTCTTCTTCTTCTTCTTCTTCTTCTTCTTCTTCTTCTTCTTCTTCTTCTTCTTCTTCTTTTTCTTCTTTTTCTTCTTAGCATTTACCAGCTGTAAACTCCTGCAGAAAGTTCTGTCTTCATCAACCCCTAGGTTTTTGTCTGTTTCACACATCTGGCTTATTTGTATGCAGACTCTTGGTTCCTTGACTTTCAGGCAATTAGTTGACTTCTACGACATGCTTGTTGGGGAGGCAGCCGAGGCGCGGTGTCGCTAATGGGACAGGGCCGACCAGCGCAAAGATGGGCACAAAACACACGAGACACCTTGGGCAGGAAAATGCATGAAGCGGAGACGTGGTGAGGGATCGAGTGTCTTTCATGCAGGATGTGACTAGAGCTTAGCTCTGTAAAGGACCTGATCATCATCATCATCATCATGGGCCCTGCATGAAGCGGAGACGTGGTGAGGGATCTAGTGTCTTTGAGGCAGGCTGTGACTGGAGCTAAGCTCTGTAAAGGACCTGATCATCATCATCATCATCATCATCATGGGCCCTGCCAACTGGCGTAGGCACTCATGCGTCTCCATAGGTCACGATCCCTGGTTGCTTGGACAGCTCTCTTGATGATAACCCTCCATGGCATCGTTACAACCCACCCAGCATCATCTCTCTTGGTCTGCCTCTACCCCTTTTCCCGCTGATCTTTCCAGTTGTCACAATGCTCTCCAATGTCTCTCTTCTGATTGTTAGTCTCTTTCTTATTGTTGTATATAGAGATCTACTTTCATTACCTTTTCTCAAGCAATTGTTGTTAGTTACTCTGGCCGTCCAAAGTATTCGTATCATTCGTCTTTGAAACCACATCTCTGTTGCTTCCAAATTCTTCATAATTTGTTCACTGACATTTCAAGATTCGATGCCATACAGCACAACAGGTTCTATGTAACATTTTAGCAGCCTCTTTCTGACATTAAATGAGAGCGATTTATTGCATAAGATATTTTTCATTTTCGGAAATGCAGCTTCGCTTGACCTATTCTACTTTTAATATCTGTCATACATTTTCCATCTGATGATATGATTGTTCCCAGATATTTGAATTTATTGACTTGGTTAAGTCTTTTTTCTTCAACTGAGATATCAACACGTGGAGTTATCTTCTTCTTTGATATAACCATTACTTCCGTTTTCTTAATATTCAATGAAAGTCCTTT